TCGCTGCAGATGGCATGGGGTTTCGGGGACACTGCAGACTGTGTGTCACTGCCCCGCAAAGTGATGGCAGTGGTGGGACCTTTTTTTCTAGGTGTTTGTCAGTGTTTGACATGTCTGCAGTTCAGAGGTGCATTTTCTGTTCCGACACCTCATCGATGTACGTAAAGGGCTCTCGTTGCCCATTAACAGCAAGGTGAAAAATACATTTTTGGGGTTCATGCCGTGGCTAGCCATGCTCAAATCTAGATCGATATTGTGTCCATATCTGAAACACAGCAGAAGTGCAATCTTGTGCCCTGGCCCTGCTGGGAGTCCCTGTCATTTCTGAGCAGAGAAGTTGAAGGATGCAGGGTCTGGAAGCAGCCTGCTCTAGGTACAGACTAAAGACAAAGAAACAACTTCAGGTAGATTGGGTGGGGGAACCATCTGAAATTACTGCCAAGGATGAGTGGCAGATTGCCTTCACACCACAACTTGATTGTGTACAAGTGCACACTTAAAAAGTCACACAGTGAGAGAGTGTCAGGACAGTCACTTGCATGGATAGAACAGTCACATCTGTTTGGAATCGTGTCCTTAGACGAGAGAGGGTTTTAGGAGTGTTGGAGGACAGGAGAGCATGGTTAATATGTGTTATTGAAGCTTTATTGTCTTTCATTTTTATGTATTCTGTCTTGGGTAGAGATGGAGTTTTTTAGCAGCTTATACCATGTGGGAATGTACTAGAATATCGTGTTGTGTTTTATGTCTCCCTTACAAGCGTGCAACTCTATGGCCATTGGTGTCATCACTCTACAGTGCTCATAGAGGTGACTTGGTGTGCAGCGGTGACTGAGGAAATAGGGGCAGATCCGTTCTGCCCCTGATCCAGTGTGCAGTTTATCTAGTTCAATAACATGTAGGCATATTTGGCATAAGTGTGTTTTCGAGACTCTTCCACAAGACCTACCCAAGGAATGAGAGAAACAAAAAGACATGTCTTCCTGCGGAATCAGCCTCAAGCAACAGCCATGAGGTTACAGTTTCTCAGCCTCACATTATCTTCTAACATGTGCAGATTTGGCATCTCTGTGTTTGCCTTGAGTCCCATAGTTTATTGTGTTGGAATACATTTGTGACAAATCTGAATCATCGCTAAGAGATGAGTTGTTAGAGCCTAGGTACTAGGAAAACCCAAGAGAGCCAACCCCAGTAATGGGCTTAGCATCCAGGTCATCCTTCTCACCTCATTGCCCCATACATGACACAGCATCTCCTTCTGATGGCTACAGACTGCATCAGGAGAATAAGGAGATAGGCTATAACGTGACTTGGAATGATGGGGTGTTCTGAGATACTCCTGATAGAAATGTCTGTAAACACATATTCCTGCTTAAAGGTTGCATTGCAAACCAAAAGGGTCCCTAGTTCACCCTTCCATCACCTCTCCTGCTTCAGGAAGAGATCTCTGTAGGAGCTTTAAAGAGAGTGCCGGGCCTGACGGCACAGTTCTTTAATATGTTACCCCGGTTCCCCTCACCAGTTAATGAACTGAGAGTCTCAAATGATCTCCATAATCAATTTCTTCCTCCAGCCCTCAAACTTTATTTTAATTACAGCAGCTTGCTGGGAACATTAAAAATGTTCCTGGTTTCATCTGACAGTTGGGAATGAGGCCTTGGAGAACATCTTCCAGATAAATTCACAGTGTGCACGCGTTACACCAACCAAGAGGAATGTGAACCTAGCGGAAAATGCTAGGGGTCTGATCTTAAGATAGCTTTTTATCCTCTCATGAAGAGATAGCAATGTCGACTTTTCTCTGGTGACCCTGAGCAGAAGTGTCACAGGCCAGACCGACTGTTCCAGGCCTGGGCCGTATTGTTCATGGTGAATTCATTTCAAGGCAATGCGGACAGACTAAAATTAAGCTATTTTCTGAGTTTCCCATGAGCCGTTCTCTGCAGCAGCACAAGGGTGCTTCAACATGAACTTCTCCCGCAGTCCTATGCGGGGTTCACTCTGAAGTCTCTTCTGCTTCTCACCTCTTAGTCTTGCAAATGCTCTCACGACTTTACCATTTTTCCAGACGCCAACATTATAAGAGGAAGCACTCACAGCCGGTTTTCATGAACAAGGAAAAGTGAGATTCTACTAACTTCCTTGGTTCAGACAGGACAATTACGTGTTTCTATTAGTTTACAAATCGAAGGAATATTCCAGAAAGTTCCATGTTTGTCCCGGTCTTTGAGTATTCTTTGAAACGAGGCCACATGTCCAGGATGTGTGGGTCTCAGACTAGGAACCTTGGTCTTCAGAATGGAAAATCTCTCTTTAATTTTCCTGTTCCGTGAATGGCAATTTGACTGGTTCAAACTGTTCTGTTTCTCCACACAGCTTTTCTCAGCCCTGCCCTGTAGCTTTCCTTTTCTGGTAGCTTAATCTAAGATTACGCTTTCGCAGCGTAGGAATATAAGCTGTGAAAGGCAGCTGGACCATGTCATTACTGCCCACCGCAAGCCAGTGTGCAATCCAGAATGAGAGGCTTTAACTTGACGGAGACTAATGCTCCTTGCCTTTAAAGGGGAAGTGTTCGGCGTTCAAGATTATCTGCTACTCTTTCGGGGGACCCTGGTTCAGATGCTGAGCTCCTGCATCTGGCAGCTCAAAACTGCCTGTAATCCAGATTCAAGGGGATTGGATACACTCCCCTGAGGAAGCGACACACACGATACTCACACTCAGGCAACCACTTGGAAGGAGGAAACATAGCTGATTCTGATAGCAATCTCCTGTTGAGATCGAGGTCACTGTAGAAAATGTGCATAGAAGCATATACCAGGCTGTTGAAAACATGACATAGAATTGAGGATCAGGTTGGCAAGATGTCTCAGCAGGTAAAGGTGCTTGCTAACTAAGCCTCATGAACCGAGTTCAGTCCTCAAAACTGAAGAGATCCCACTCCCTCAGAAGAGAACCCGCTCCCACAGAAAAGAATCACCTCCCACAGAAGAAACCCCGCTCCTACAGAAGAGACCCCACTCCCTCTGAAGAGAACCCATTCCCTCAGAAGAGACCCTGCTCCCTCAGAAGAGACCCGGCTCCCTCAGAAGAGACCCTGCTCCCACAGAAGAGACCCTGCTCCCTCAGAAGAGACCCTGCTCCCTCAGAAGAGACCCTGCTCCCACAGAGAAGAACTCTCTGACCTCTGCACACACGTGGGTGTCACATATGTACATAGACATGCAACCATGCATATGCACACACATATTTAATATATAAAAATGTAATAAGATTTTTAAAGAATTGGGGAATTGATGATAAAATGATAATTTGAGCTTTGGAGACAAGTGTTGTGGGAAATGCAAGTAGGATAGTCTACACTGAAAAGGAAATGCTCATTCTAGGCCTAAGAGATGACATAAATAGAAAAGAGCATGTCAAGCAAGCATCAGAACCTGAAGTCGAGCCCCAGATTCAATGCTAAAAACAGACAAAACACCAGGCGTGATGCAGCACACACTTGTGATTCGAGTGTTGGATTGCAGAAACAAATGGATTCCTGCACTCCCTTGCCAGCCAGCCTAGCCTACTTGGTGGGTTCCAGGTCAGTGAGAGAGCCCATCTAAAAAGGAAAAAGTGGAGTATGCCAGAGAAACAATAGCCAAAGATGTCCTCTGGCCTCTACACGAATCCATGACCCACACACCACACGTCTGTTCACATGTTCGCAGATGCATACACACACACGCACACATACACACACACGCACACACACTGCTCAGTCTTCTGGGTTGTCGGGTTCTGCCCATTCAAACAGATTTCTAAAAGAGACTGAAGAGTGGTGGCACACACCTTTAATCTCAGCACTCACGTGGGAGGCAGAGGCAGGTGGATCTCTGTGAGTTCAAGACCAGCCTGCTCTACAGATCTAGTTTCAGGATAGCCAAGGCTACAAAGAAACCCTGTCTCAAAAATAAAAAAAAAAAAATAGAACCTTCTTAAAGAGACCATGGGACAGTCCCGACAGTGTGAAAATCTTCCCAGTGCCCGTTTATATCCGCAGTACACACCATCCTGAGCACCTCAGGTGCTGCCATCTCTTCCTCTCAGTGGGGCTGCTACCAACACAAGCAAAGACATCCTTCAGTGGCCCTCACCCCTCGTGTGTCATCGGGTCCTGTGATGTTTTACTCTGTGGTGTTGTCTGTAGATTTCCTTGTTTCTATAGTAACGACACACTTATTGATGTGTAGCCTGTAATAACACCATAAATGCCAACACTCCCCAGTCAGTGAGATCACTTAGTCAGCTCCTCTAACACAGCCTTCATTCAAAGCTCGTATCTTTCCCTTAAAAAGTGTATGTCTTCATGACCAAATAAAAGTTAACAGGCATTTAATTATAGGAATAGATTGTGAATAGATTAATTTTAAAAAAAACTACTCTTTAGGAAGTACTGGTGAAAAATGGTAGTTATTGGACCTAAATTTCATATGTACTTAAGGCCCATAAGTCTCACTGACAGAGTGGACTGTCCTGGCTCAATAATTAATGCCCTGGGACTTCTCCAGGTAGACTGTGATTTGGATATTTTATGGGTTATTATGTCAAAGATCCATGTCAGACAAGGTGCTTACACAATGCTCCACAGAGAAATTATTGTCACAAGCAAACTGGAGTGGAGGTTTTTTTTTTAATGTACTTTAAGTAAACGTAGGGAAAATACAATACCCTCCTTAATGGCCTCCTGTTTTAAGTGACAGGTGCCTTCACTTTTATTTACCAGTAGAAGTGTATCTGAAGATGACTACTATGAATGTTTAAACAGCTCTTGCCTTTGGAGGGTACACTGCAGGGTTTTGCAACTTGTGTTTGGTGCAGCTTCAATGCTACTCAGAGCAGTCCCTTACCTTCCTGATAACCTTGTATGTGTGCACAGCTCTTAAGGGGCAGAGCAGTTGACCATTCTATACAATGCACTTATGCTTCCTTCTTCCTCTTCTTCTCCCTCTTCCCAGGAATCCTGGTTCCCCAAATTCCAGCATCCTACTCAGCGGTGGGGGTGTGATGCCTTCTCTGTTGGACACTGTCAATCGGCCTATCTGAAAAACTTAGTTCCCACCACACAGTATGAAATAAGAATACAACAAGCCTGCCAAAATGGTAACTCTTTTAGACACTTGACCTGGGATTGTTTAGTGTCTCAGATTTTTTTTCCTTAAAAAAAGAACAGTTTCTCTGTTGAAGTACCAAGAATAATGTCTAATTTCTAAATTGTGATAGACTGTTTTCCCAGAAATCAGCCTGGCATCCAGTGAAGCGTTAGGCATCTCTGCACATTGCATCATGAATATTTAAATACATAAAAATGGTGACTTTGTAAAGCCTTGCTTTGTAAGGTCTTTCAAAAGAATTCACAGAGCTCACACAAAGAGGCCACTGATAATATGAAACAAAATGGATTCTAGAGTAAATTTTATAGGAAATATATTAAACTGGATGTTATTTAAAACTTTTCAGGAGGAAGAAGTTGTTGGAGAGAGAGAGAGAGAGGGAGAGAGAGAGAGAGAAGCTGAAAACCAAACATGTCAGAAGCAAAGAACCCCTGAGCTTGGCATCTACGAGAGCAGACACAGGTGTGGCAGTCAGGTGGGTCTGCATATGAAACCCACTCCAACAACCACGTCCACACAATCACACGGGTGCAGCCCATCTCCTGCATGCCTCCCCACTGCTCTCCTATCTTGCTGTCTCTCCAGCAATCCCCACTGCTGTTTGGTCCATGTAGCCAGCCCCTTCACAGTTGGAACCCTTTAACTCAGACCCTGCAGTGACCAACCACGAGTCTGTAGGAGGAAAAAAACAGTGAAAGGAGAAGCTATGGCTGCACTTTTGGCAATGTAAATGGCATCCCCTAAAATGAGCAAGCCCAACTTCTCAGCCAACATTAGTGTGAAGAATAATATTTCGGATTCAAATACACACGAATGTATAAAAACGACTGCCGTGAACTTGCATTTCACACGAAGCACTGTAGTGTAGAATCTAAGGTACCCATCCATTCTCCAGAAATAGTTTCCTGTCCATTACCAAACGCTAATTGCACGAGGAAGGGGCATCGCTTTCCTGTTCTGAATGAAGGGAAACCGGCGACTCTTGAGGGAGCAGAACGTGGCTGCGCGCACGCTGTCGGGTCTGTAAACAAAGCTCCTGATTACAGTGCCTATCCCACCGCCACGCCAGCAAAGGAAAACGGGGAACAGAATGCAGAAAGGCCGTCTCAATGAAAAATACTGTCAATTGAATTTGACAGCATTTGATGGCATTTGATTATTCTAGTCACAGCCAAACAATGATATAAAGAGGAATATGAAACAGAATGTGTTACTGCCTCGCAGACTCCAGCGCAATAAACCTTCCCCCAGCGTGACACAATCACTTCACCATCATAATTGTAGCCTGTTTGATACCTCTGAGTACAGCGGAAGGGCGCTGACTGACACAGATACATTTTGTTTTTTATTTAAAGTGAAATGAAAATGGCGCGCTGGGGCTCCAGATACAATCGTTATATTCACCTACCGAGGCATGAATCACTTGGCAGTTATTCCAGCTGAAGTTTAAATGTGCTTAGACAACAACAATATCAAATTTTTCTTAGATAGCTGCAGAAAAAAAATCAGAAATTTGTAAGGACAGAAATAGCATGTAGACACACAGTTCTTTTTCATCCTATGACGAGTGGGGCCCCTTGCCCGGTGACAGCTCAAGCCGCTGTACTTCCGAGGAAGTTATACCGTACAATGCCTGCTCCATTGTTCACCCAGGAAATGCAGCCGGCTCAATCCAAGGACAAGGCTTGGCCTATGCAGATATTCTTATTAAATCCCAGGAGGCCAACATGCTGACTTCATTCTAAAAAAGCGTCTGCCAGTTCTCACTTGTCCCCCAAACTACTTTCCACCCTTGGTGATCCTCTTTCATTGTTATAATATTGCTGCTACATATCAAGCTGTTAAAAAGAAAAAAGAAAGTGCTTCCCTTAATAAGGAGATAAGACGTTTATGAGCCAGCAAAACAGACAGAATAGTCCATGTGGCACTTTTACTTTTCTCATCACTGGGACAAAATACCCAGCAGAAGCGATTCAGAGGGGAACAGAAGTATGTCAGCTCACATTTTCTTGGTGGGGAAGGCATGACATTGCTCAAGGTGGACCAAGTGGCTTCTAACCACAGGGGTGGGGGCATGAGGTCACTTGTTCATGTCTCAGTGCAACAAGAGGTGGAGACCTCAGGCAAGAGCTGAGCCCAGCCACAGCCCTCAACTCTGCTCTAAGGCTGTACCTCTGTCAGCTATACCCCATATCCCAAAGATGCCCCAGCCTCCCCAAACAGCGCCCCCTGTTGGAGGTCAAGTGTCTAAACACCTGAGTCTGTAAGGTGTGTTCCACACTTGGATCATTGAAACCTGTTAGTGGCAGACTTTGCAGATGAATGTCCCTCCTTAGGTTTCCAGTTACATAGGCTGCTTTCTTGACGAGGTGCAAGTCATAATGGAGGTAGGTTTTCTGTACCCATTTTCATAAATAACGAGGACGTTTAGGTTAGTGTTGTGCAACCTATCTATTGTCAAGATAGAAGCAAAGCCAGATTGAATATTGACATCTTCTTCAAAGAAAGGCTCGATCTACCCACTTCATCAGGTCAACAGCCTTACAAATGGTCAAAATCTCACCACTTCCATGTATAAAAATCAGTTCTTAGGAACTGACAAAACACTTAGGAAAACTGCCTTCTCCCACTAGGAGCTTCCATGTAAACAGAGATGAAATTACACAGGGCTTATAGTCTCAAGACTCTTCACTATTAAATGAATAATAATATTTGAACTAGGTGCATTAGAAGTCAAAGGTGCATACAAAGTCGCTTTAGCACTGTGAAAAGGGGGGGGGGATGATGAACCGTCCTTCTGAAAAACTTTAAAGGATAAAATCTAAGTGAGTTTTGAAGGTGTGAATTGGTGTTTCCAAGAAGGAGACTAAAATGATTCTGTAGAATGTATATATTAGCTAACTGAGTTACTGAGGAAAGGGTGCTGTTAAATTGAAGACATTGTGTGGAAAAGTGGGTACAGATATGGGCACTGAGTTAGATGATAAATAGCTAGATATGTATTCATGTATTATATATATACCTCGGGATACGAAGTTCTTAAACTTTAATTCTTCATACTAATGCTCTTATTACTGTATGAGATAAACTAAACACAAGGTAAGATGTGCAACATAATTCAAGATGCACAAATATTCATCAGAAAATTTAGAGATGTATTACTTGTCATTGCTGTGAAGAGAAAAACTCACAACCGAAAGCCGTTTATGTGTACACACACAAACTGTAGTAGAGAGATCTTAACTGCTGGCAGTGCGGGCATTCAGGTGTCGATAGAATAAGAAAATGTCCCCACAGTGAAGGCCAGAGGTGAAGCAGCTGTTGTGTTTGGCTAGAGTCTAAACTACTTACGAAAGAAACTTAGATCATCTGAATGTCCGACTTTTTAATGAAATAGTAAAGGCCAAATGGTGACTTTGCTGAGTCCAGATGCAGTCTACCATTTCTCTGTCTAGGATTTTCCTGTTTCCCTCTTTCTGTAGACATCATCACTTTCTGGAGCAATCAGGGTGTAATCAAAAAGCCCGCTTACCTTTCACAGAGGGATTAATGTCAATAGCCGTGTAGGACAAATGTGTTAATTGGGTGACTGAAAAGATGAGACAAAAACTCCAGGAAGCACAGAAGTGGCAGCTTCACAAAAGCCGGTGGCATCCTAAGAGTGGAGGGAACAAAGGAAGTGGACAGAATTACTAAAACAGAGAAGCCCAGACATAGGAACTCTGGGCAACTGGGTTTCTGAATTCCTAGGACGATGTTTCTGGCTCTTCAGGGAGGAAACAGTAAATCTAACCGTGTTCTCACATTTGACAAACTGTATAGTGGAAATGTCTTCTCCTCTCAGGTGAGGCATCCATTCTGGCAAGGTGCTCACTAAAGCTACTAAAGGAAACAAGTAAGAGAGTCGGTCCCCCCTTCTTCATGACTTCCTGGTTACCTTCGGGTGCCCATTGTCAACAGAACCCAGCATCAAACTCCTTGATAAAGCAGCAATGGAGATCTCAATGTCTAGGCTGTGTAATAACTATATTTAAAATGTTTAGAGGAGGCCATTTTATACACACAATGAGAAGAAGCGACTGATGAAAAAAAATCTTCTTCTCCCAGATTTATATTTATCTTTACTCTCCACATAGTGTTAGGCAGCATTGAGTGACCTATCTTTGAGATAGAATTGCCCAAATAAGCTGTAAGAAAAGAACAGTGGCATGGCTGTGCAGGGAGAGCTGAGCATGTAATCTGTAAACACATGCTATTCTGGAGGAGCAGGACTACCCCATCAACTGTTGACACCTCATAATTGGGGGGGGGGAGGAACAGGTTTCCCTCAACCTCTTATCTGGTGTGTTCAGAACCAAAGAGAGCCCGACTTTAATGCCACCCTTGGGATGCAACCTATTCATCTGTAATATTAATTTATTAAATAATCAATAGTAAGAAATATGTCACCCGGCTGAATCCTTTCATCGTTTTGGTGAATATACTTGAAGTTACTATCATATTGCATCTCTGAAATAGTGTAGATATTAAAATTCCCCTTCAGAGAGTGGGGATTTTTTTTTAATGTCAGTTTTAAGAAAACCATGTCTACATCTCAATTTGGTAATTCATGAGATGTTTAATAAAAATTAATTGAATTGTCATAGCAAATCTGAAGTAAGACAATATAGAAACGGTGGTTTTCCCATCAGATTTTGATAGGATTGTGTTGTAATAAGAGCAGCGGGGCTCCATCCCTGGCCGCCCGCACGGCTAGCTTTATACCAGAAATAATTACATGGAAACTGTATTCTTTTAAACACTGCCTGGCCCATTTGTTTCAGCCTCTTATTGGCTAGCTCTTACATATTGATCTAACCCATTTCTAATAATCTGTGTAGCCCACGAGCTGGCTTACCAGGGAAGATCTTAACCTGCGTCTGTCTGGAGTGGGAGAATCATGGCGACTCCTGACTCGGCTTTCTTTCTCCCAGAATTCTGTTCAGTCTACTCTGCCTACCTAATTTTCTGTCCTATTATAGGGCTAAGGCAGTCTCTTTATTTAACCAATGAAATCAACACAAAACAGAAGACTCTCCCTCATCATTTCCCCTTTTTCTGTTTAAACAAAAAAGAAAGGCTTTCACTTTAACATAGTAAGATTACATATAACGAAACAGTTATCAAGCAAGAATTACAGTTACAATATTTATATCTACTTTATCTTTTATCATAACTAAGGAAAACTATAACTATAACTAACCATTCTTCAACTCCATCAAAGACTCCAGAAGGATATAATATTACCTAAGTAAACAAGAAGTCCAAAGCTCTAGAAATGACAGAGACATCTCGCTGTCTGGACAGTCACCCAAAGTTCTTTTGTACCATTGGGGCATCCATCTTCAGCCTTCAGGCCCATAGTATACAGCAGACATTTTCATCAAGCAAGAAATTCCAAAGACAGTTCAGTCACTTTCTAATGTGTCCTGCAGAATGTCTCACAGACTCTTTCATGAGTCAGGAACCCCAAAGAATCATCTCACCTTTAGGCAAGTTCAGCAGTCCTCTCTCTGTGGGTTCTTTGTGTCCAGTTTATGCATCAGTCCAGGCAAGAGCAGTTTCTTGCCCAAATGGCTATCAAACTCCATCAGGAGCCTCTTTGATGCCCATCTTCCTCTTTAAGTAGATTGGCGCTGCCAGGAGCAGACATGTCTCATTGTCATGAAAAGCCCTAAATTATTAAAACATTTAAATGCCATATTCTGTAGTCTTTGAAAGATATGAAGAATGCCTATCTAACTGAAATATATCTCTATATATCTAGAAAATCTAACTAACATGACTACAAGCTTGACTATTATTGATGATTATCTATTAACAACCTATATTTCCTAATTATACATTACATTTTAAAAATGAAGTACACAATCGCAATACCTTAATTGATATCATATACATTATGTATGTATACATACATATACATACAACAAAATTGACCTTAAAATCCACACCAATGCAAATTATTCATATCTGTATCATATCCCCCTTTAAATGTAAAAGAACATTTATAAACCATATTTGGGAACATGGGCGCAGTTTTTTCTCTCCAAACTGCTTCCTGCTGAATGGGGGCATCGTTAATTAGGTCTTTCATGGTATAACCTGTGTGCTAGTTTCATCTCAGTTGGCAGTTGAGCAAAGTAATTTTTTGAGGGTGTTCACAGCAACCTTTCAGGAGGGCGTGGTCTATCATACCATATTGGGATAGGAGAAATCCACAGGGTCTCATCCTCTGCGAAAACAAAAGAAGGACTTTTCCAAAGCATAACCTTAGATACAAATTCTGAAGTCAAGATACCTTTAGAACATATGTGCAGGTTCAGCTTAGCAGCCCATATAATTAATTGTCTCTCTGTACTTAGCTCCTTCACAGTCAAAAATTTTAAAGAAAACACAATGTACATAATCCAGACTCTCTGTGAATTTTCTGTTTTTACGTGGCTTATTTTTCTTTATTTACTCTATCTCTTTAAAGACTTTATCCTTTTTTTTAAACCATTAACTTTATTCTCTACATTTTTTTTTCTTCTCTCTCTCAAGCCTACATACAATCATCCAACATTGTGATCCATTTAGTGGTCTGTCTGAATCTGTTTTATTGTGAATCTGTAATTTTTTTTTTTTTACTATCCAGGAGCACTTTTGATTTGTGCCTTTAAATCACTAAGCACTTAAGAATCTAAGCTGTGACATTCCTAGGTCAAAAACAGGTACTGCCTGCTTGCCCTGCCCAGTCCAACATGGCGGAGCTGCTTGTGCCTCTGAGCTGCGGCATGCAATGTTCCAGGCACATAGCAAGTCCACATTGGAGCCACACTCAGCAGTTTAATTCTGAGACTGAGCATGCAGCACAGAAACTCTTTTCATTCAAGTTACAGCCAAATCTGACACGCAGAGCACTGCACAGTCTGAAAACATGTCTCTGTATGATGGCAGGAATCCGCCATGCTCTTCCACCTGCCTAAACCTGATTCTGCCATCTGCCCAGGTGCAGGCGGGGAGCACTGAGCCATCAGCACAGTCTCAGAGCATTCTCCTTCCGATCCCAAGTGGGAACACAAACATCCAGTCCCATCAAAGCCATTGAAATGCTTTAAAGCCAGAGTTTGCACTGGCAGCACAGTCCTAGGAAGCCGCATTTTTTTTCTGCTGCTGTTGCTGAATCAGGAAATCTCTCTAAGGCACACCACCAACAAACAGCAAAAATCTGCATTAAACTCTCTTTCCCTTATTTTTAAGCCTTCTCAGGTTTTTAAGTGGATTTAGTCCATCACGTTGGGCGCCACTCTGTTGTAATAGAAGCAGCGGGCTATGTTCCTGGCACCCTCACGGCTAGCTTTATATCCGAAATAATTACATGGAAACTGTATTCTTTTAAACACTGCCTGGCCCATTTGTTTCAGCTTCTTATTGGCTAGCTCTTACATATTGATCTAACCCATTTCTAATAATCTGTGTAGCCCACGAGCTGGCTTACCAAGGAAGATCTTAACCTGCATCTGTCTGGAGTGGGAGAATCATGGCGACTCCTGACTCGGCTTTCTTTCTCCCAGAATTCTGTTCAGTCTACTCTGCCTACCTAATTTTTTGTCCTATTAAAGGGCTAAGGCAGTCTCTTTATTTAACCAATGAAATCAACACAAAACAGAAGACTCTCCCCCATCAAGATTGCATCATGTCCCTAGCAGACACAGTTTCTGGATGCTGACTGGAGTCCTTGGCCATGAGCCCTGGGATTCTCATAGAGCCGATCCCTCTCCATGATACACCCAGTACCCGATGCATGCAGCAGACACCAGGGCCAAACTTCACATACCTGCACGGAGTGCAGAATCTGGCCCATGCATGGGAGCAGACCCATGAGGTCAACCTATAATACCTCCATGGCCTGTCATTGCTCAGCCTTACACCACAGCAGCTGATGAGCTGGAGAAACACCAGATTCCGAGAGCCAAAGATTTTCCATTACCCTGTTTCTACCTTGTGAAAGATGCTGTCGTTTGCTTTGTCTTAATCACCCTTCGAGTTTTGATGGGGCCGGTTAATCTGATATGGCAGCATGTGTGTTCCCCAGTGTCTGAAGAGGGTGTTAATTAAAGACTTCTAACAGCCTGGAAAATATTGATTTATTCAACACTCTCTTCTCCACCAGAGACTGAGCTAGAAGATAAGAGCCCTGCTCTCCACCTCCTTCTTCCTCAGCCTACCTCTCTACCCCAACAATACAGGGAACGGGATAAAGATGAGGTCAAAAGGCAGAAAAATATCATGAAATTATATGCCTTTTGGCCACTTATTTGAAAAGTAAATGCTTGACCCCTTCATGGACTCGAACACTGGGAATATGGAAATGTAAAAGGCACAGTTCCCTTCCTGTCAGATGCGTGTTATGATTTTACACCTGGATGAGGAGAATCTGTTCCCAACTCAGCATCAGATATTAAGTAAGACCATCTTAACAGCTGACAATTCCCTTCCTCTTGCTTCCGTGTTGAATGTTTTCTACATTCAACTGCCGAAATAAAATGTAGAGATCTGAGTTCTGATAGCAACACAATCTCACCCATAAGAGGACTGGGTAATCCTGTTCTCTGGCAGTGAGAAGAATATTTTGAGACTATTCTGGACTGTGATAGACTTTAGGAAACAGCAAAAAGGAAGCAGTCCTCTGCCCTTTGCCATTTAAAAGTCTCCAACTCAAATTCCTGATCCTGCATCTACCATGTGGCTTTCATCCATTAGCGCACAGTTTGGTCTCATATATTCAGCTCTGCTCCTGCGGGTCCAGTGCGCTCACTCATCTCTGTTCCTGCTCCTGAGTCAAAGACAGTGTTTATGTGTGGCTCTTGATGTGTGATAACAAGTGTATAAAAAATAATAAGGAGAATGTTCCTTGCTTCGAGGGTTACAGTGTAATTAATAGAAAGTTTAAATGAAGAGAAAATAAGTGGCCTATGAGAAACATAGAAATGCTGTCTAACTGCCCTGCAGGCAAATACAGGTGCATCATCTTAGGCAAACCTTGGGAAGAATTGTGGGTTCTCTGTCCCACAGTATGCCAGCCTCAGTGTTTGTACATGGTGACCCCAACATCCCACAAGAGGAGGTCAGCCTCACCATATCAATGCTTTGCAGTCACTGAAACCATCGGTTATCAGTCTATCAGTCTATAGGGCTGAGATCATGGAGAATATGGAAGCGTCTCACACTGGAACCTGCCACAATCCACTGACCACAGAAGAGTTAGGATTCCCAAAACATCAGCCTCCAGCCATTGCACAGCCCATTCTGTGGTTCTGTGTTCAAAGGCAGAACCTGAATGCTACTGCTTGTGTCCACACCCATGACTTAGTCCTCACTTGGAGGAATAAAATAATATCCCATACACTAGAAAAGACATAGGAATTCTAACGTGATGCTGATGATTCTTTACTTGATGCACACAGGGTCTTCCCAGCTCAGTTCGCCCAAGCTAGGTGTTTCCTCACAGACATGCCCAGAAGTCTGTCTCCTGGGTGGTTCTAGGTCTTGTGACCTTGACAATATTAACCATCACGGTAATGTGTTGCCTAATTTTTTACATATATTTTGTATTTGCATATTTTCTATGACCTGTATGAACTTTTAAAAACCATACACACACACACACAATGTCAACTACATTAAGAAAATGTAGCCAATTCCCAATAAGGAAAAATTATCTGAAAGAAGATGCTCATTTTGATAAACCAGTCTCTTCCTCTGTCTCTAAAGCTATTGTCACATGCCCGGGGGTCACACTCTCTGCTGGTTCTCTTGCAGACATCCTGCTGATGCTGAGGAGGAGTCTACTTTTTGTCTGGTCGGAAGGAGCTCTTGAGTTCACTGATGATGCAGACACTCTGCAGCCTTCTGCACTGTGTGATTACCGAATCAGAGCCTGGAACTCCGAGGGTGTGGTGGACAGCCTGTGGTCATCAGTACAAACCATGGAGCCCCCGATGAAGGTCTCTCAGCACCATGGGCTCAAGTCACCAGTGCTCATTCGGTCCTGCTAAACTGGACAGAACCTGAGGTCTCCAATGGCATTATCTTCCGGTACCATTTAATCTACCAAGAAAGACCAGAGGAGTCAACACCTAGCAACTCTGCCATCCCTGCTTTCACAGTGACGGTAAGTAAGAATTTAGAATAAATAAACAGCCCTTGGGTTATCTGGTTAACAAATTAAAATTCGTTTCCTTATCTGCTTGCCATGTTCCTCACTTGGAGCATAAATATATGAAATTTTCATGTTTGAAAAACAACAATAATTATAATATTGATAATAAATTGAGTATGAGCAGCATTTGGGGACCAGTTGGCAGGACCAGAACTTATTTGCATTACTACAAGCAAATAAATGAGTCTCTTTGCCTGATTACCACCTTACAGACCCACTAAATGGAAATAATTCAGTATTTCCCTCAATAAAGCATAGGAATAATGTCAAGATGAGAACATGCAATTGTCTAGTTTGTCAAAGAACTAATCTTAAATATACATGTCTGTAGGTTTATATGCATACAGAGAAGAAGGCCATAATATCCCATGCTCTAAAAAAGACACATGTATTCTAACAGGGAATTAATTATTCTTTTCTGAACTGTTCCCCTGATGGATAAAATAATTTCATTAGCTCACCTAGTATTTCCTGTGAGTTTTCTTTGTGCCCAGAATTTCCTTGTGTTCTATGAGAGATGCAGAAATGTGGTGGCTTTTGCCTTAGAAACATTTGTATAATATTGTAGAAATGAAAATTATAGTTTAAAAAATAGGAACCCACAGTACTAGAATTTGGATCCCAAACCCCAACAACACATGCCAGTCATGAGTCACAGTGCAAGAAGAGGTATCATCCAGAAAGCACTGCACAGGAAACCCCCTGGAAGTTAACAGGAAGTCCTCAGGCTAGAGAGCCTGTATGGAAAAGATGAAATGTTAGGGTCTTGGGAGGAAATTCATGGTTTTCAAAACATGCCAAAACGTCATTAAATGTGAATGACCCTTACAGATAAGATGAGCAGGGTAGAATTGAATGTTACTTTAAAAGCTAAAGGCATGTGCCTGTGATTCAAGCTCATGGCAATCCAATATATATATATATATTGGAGTTCGTTTTTATCAAGATGGATGAATAGCACCTGGTCAGTGTATCAAAATGTAATTCCAAAAGAATCTCTACAAGTAAATGCTGGAGTTTTAATTTTTCCACTGTGCTCATGTTTAGTTTTTTACATGAGTCAACCATAAGCAGCATTTGAGAGAAGGCATTAATGTGAAAGTCTGTGTCTTATTTCAGAATTGATACTTTGTTTTCCTGTTTGACATTCTGTAACCAGAGACTTCTCTTTCGTTCCCAGCCACCCAGACCTGAATAATCACACAGAAACTATATTAATTACAGCACTGTTATATTCCTAACTAGCTCTTACATCTTAAATTAACCCATTTCTATCAATCTGTGTATTGCCATGAGACTGTGGCCTACTGGTGTGGTTCCTAAGGTTCCGGCATGTCCTTCTCTTTCGGCAGCTACATGGCATCTCTCTAATTCTTCCTACTCTTTCTATATCTCTGTTCTGATTTTAAACCTGGCTTTACTGTGCTAAGCTATTGGCCCAAACAGCTTGCTTTATTTATTAACCAATAAAAGCAACACGTGTACAGAAGGACATCCCACATCAACATCCTTTTCCTATCAGTGTCTCTTCCATTTCATTTCCGGATACTTTTTCATAAGCATTATGAGCCATGGAATGCATAGTAACGATCCATTTTAGCTAATAATCTGATTGGTAGGGAAACCTACTATATTTAAACTGTATCCTTAGAACTTAGATTCTAATTGTTCTTTCACCTCTAAAGTAATTTTGGTTAAAATATTGAAATACTATGATAAATATGTGTTTATCAAAGGCACCAGCAACAATGACCAAACCTTTGTTCTTTCAAAATATAACTTACAAGAATATATGACTAATTATATATTCTGCCCAGTTCTATTGGAATTCATTGGGAGAATACCCTGTGGGTCATTGCTTTGCGGTTTTGTTATCAAACACATGATTTGGGGTTCTGATGGATGTGAAAACTCTGTTCTTTATTCATTTTATTTATAAAAATTTAACCTGTTCCTAGAAGAGAAGCCACAGCCACCCTGTGGCCTCAGGCTGTGAGTTGCACGGGATGGGGGTGGAAGACTTAATACATGGAGCTTCCTAACATTGTCTTCAACGCTCCCATTCTAAAAGACCCATCATGCACACCTTTTCTATTTTTCTAAGACTTACTATTCCTTATGATTCCAAAGAGACTAGCCAGAATAATCAAGAAATTATAAAACTCCTACAACGTATTTTTGAGTGTGTGCATTCGTCCCATGTGACCTTCCAGCATTCTGGATCATTGACTCTGGAGCAGAACTCCTCAGAGATTTGGTTGGATTCACCCAGAAAGTTCCATCTGAAGTTTTCAAGCCATAAGGGCAGGATTCAGACATTCTGGTCCACCAGGCCGAATCTTTAGGGCACAAGTCACTGTGACCTCACATAGATGGATACTTTGAAAGAGATCATCAGACAAATAGACCATGGTCTATGAATCTTATCCACTCATATATTCCCAATGTAGAGGCTACATTTAACCTTTAAAAAAAGACTAAAAGTAGGAAGATGTACCATATATGCAATGTTCTCTCTTGCCCTCCACAGAGAGGAGTATCCTTTTTACCCTCACTGTCCTCGTTTGCTTTCGGTTGCTGAGATTAACACTGTGACCAGAGGCTACATGTAGAGGAAATGGCTTGTTTGGCTTATACATCCCTAACATGGCCCATCATGAAGGGATGTCAGGGCACGAACTCAAGGCAGGAACTGAAGCAGAGACCACAGAGGAGCGCTACTTATCAGCTTGTTCTCCGTGACTTGCTCAGCTTGTAATTTTCTACAACCCAGGGCCAATTTGTTTGCTGCTCAGGAGTGGTACCCCCCTTACACAGAAGAAAATGATGGACAGACTTACTTAGAGGGCATTCTGATGGAGGCACTTCCTCCATTGCCTCTTCCCAGATCACCCTGTCTTGTGTCAAGTTGGAAAAAAAAAATAAACTAAACATCACACTATCCATATATCTTCTTCTATAATATAGGCCTATTTTTGTTTTCTGAACAACATGACTTCCTTCTATTGCTGAAAAAATAATCTTTAGGGTCAAGCACATTCAATCAAACTGGATGAATAGCCGTTGAGCTCTGTGTTATCCTTACTCACTGTGGGGCCTACTATGAGACTGAGCCCAGCAGTGGTTGGGTAGGAAGGTGGGTGGTCAACTGGGAGGCACAAGTTACTAGTTGGGCACTAAGGTTTCTAAGCCCCTCACTCCAGTGTGTCTTCGATCTGGGTGTGCATAAAGGACTCCCTTTTAAATCTTGCTGCAAGTCCCCTACTCCTCTTGAATCTTACTCTCGCTAAGATCTCCGCAGCAAAGGGGTGCTGATTGATATAAATGAAGCTCTTAATGTAAACACACAATTTCAGAAAAACAAACCAACCCAGACTTGTGAAAGACGTCCCTAACATCACTCATTTAGTCCCTTGATTATTGGGGTCCCATGTCTACTCAAGGGACCATCAAAATATCACCCATGGTGTCAACAGATCCCTAGCTTGCCTGCGTCCCCCCAGAGGTGTCTAGAAGCAGGTGGAGGTTGCTGGAGAGCCACATGAAGCAGGTGCAGTGCAGCCATGAATCCTGTGGAGGTGGCAGTGGATGGAGAACAGGCAGCAGGGGCCCTCCATAGGGGTGAAGACTGGATGTGTTGGCAGGAGCAGCAGCAGAGGCAGCAGGAGAGGAGAAATGGGGAGCGAGTGGCTTTTAATGCATCACTAATTTCTCTCTCAACATCATGAAAAGCCATCTCTCTTTGAGTCCAAGGAGGTCTTTCTAAATTGAAAAGAACAAAATTCTTAGGTTGTCTTCAGACCTTAGTAGTCTTCCCTACAGAAAACAGGCTTCAGTTACAAATCCTTAAACTCCCTTCCCCCATTAGCTCCGTGATGGATGGAGCAATGTCAGGAAAGAGGCTGAATTTAGCCTTGCTTGGCATGCGAGAGTTCCACGGTGCTACTTGCAGGAACACTCCTGGCGAGGCTGGCGAGGCTGGCGAGGCTGCCACCACCACTCAGGTCTGTTTGCTCCTGCTCACTGGCACCTGCCATCGTTCTGGCAGAAATAACTTGGGATTTAAAGGCAAAGGTGTTTTGCCTGCTAGTTAGTGCTATGAGAACATCCCTGCTTGCCCTACAGGATCATAAAACACCAAGCCCAAAACATGCCTTTGGCCACTAGCCTGAAAGATAGATGGTATCTCACTCCATATGTAGAGTCAGGCATAAGGAGCTGATGGACTGAGCAAATGATTTGGGTCACTAAGAGTTGGCTTCTCATCTGGGCATAAAATCCAAAATTACAAAAGTAATCTCTACATTCTGGTTGCCAAACTCCCTTTCCCAATGTCAAGGAGGAGGCATTTAAAACTTCCTCATGTGCTTGGCCCAGATCTCTTTGCCATTAAATAGATTTGTAGCCAAAACACATTATGAGGTACTTCATAATTGCCCTATTATGGAAGGTTTGTGAGTAAATTGATGAACTCATTCTAATCCCATTTTCGTTTTGGCTTATTATAACGTAAGATTTTGCTTCTTACGTATGATCTTAAGTTAGTTGTAGCTGTGACAGTGTGATGGTTCTCAGCCTTTCTTCTGCAGACCCATTCAGAGGCTGGCAGAAAGGCTCTGTAAGATGTGGCCTTCTAGAAGGATCTCATTCTAGCATGATTAAGCAATGGTACAGTTTAAAAAAATGGCAACTCCACCAAAACTCCCTCGCATGTTTGTCTTATAGACAAATTTTTTCACATTTTATAATGTTAATAAGGTTATTCTTTCTAGTATATGAAATGTCTTAGGGTTTCTATTGCTGTGAAGAGACACCATGACCATGACAACTCCTACAAAGGGCAACTTTCAATCAGGGTAGCTTATGATTCCAAGCTGTAGTTTATTATCATCATGGCGGGTGGCATGCAGGCAGACAGTATGCTGGAGAAGGAGCTGAGAGTGCTACATCTT